TTTGTAGCATGCTCAATAAGTATTTGTGTGTGTTGTGTAAGTTACACTCAGCGCAGCTTCTAGATTTAGGTCTCCAAAGTCAATTTTTTTTAAATATGTGAAATATTTGTTGTTATTGGAGTTGTCATAAAGAATAGAGTGTCTTGTAGTACTGCAGTGCTTTATCAATATGTTTATGCGTTGGGCTAACGCAAACAATAACTGATTGGGTCATCTGACCAATCACCGCAGATTAGCGTCACGCAAAGGAGGGGTTTGGAAAAATGAGTCGTTGAATGAATCATTTGGGAGTCGTGAGCAAATCAGGTAAAAATAAATGCATATTATAAGACAACAAAAGTGTTTTTTTGTCGTTGCATGCATGTAAAACTGTTGTTGGGGACTCCCAAACCAATATTAGGAACATTTTAAATGCCATAATAGGTGCCCTTTAACTTTAAAGCAAATGTCAATACAGTCTGTTGTCAAAGGTACAGAGCCTTCAAATACAACTTTTCCCCACATTATGCCGTATGATGTAATTCCGGCCTGTACTGGTTTATATCCAATAAGGATAATACAGAACCAAAGAACCAGCACTATAACATTTAAGAATGAGACAATGAGTTACTTTGTACAGTTGTATATAAACTGACACTAATTTTGTTTTCAATAATCCTGCTGTACAGAGAAACATTACAAGAGTGAACAGCCCATATCATAGATTCATAAAGTAAATCTCAGTGGATAGATGTATGTAAAGGACTTTGTGTTTGTTTTTTTGACAGAAATAACTTTTTAAACAGATTTTCAATACATAAATATCTCAAGACTCACTCTGGATTGTTACTGTCACTGGATCAGAGTTAGATGGTGTTTGAACATGTGACTTATTCTCAGTGTAGAAGCAGGTTATTCTCACAGATGAACTCTGACCTTCTGACCAAATACTGATCTGAGATCCAGTGAGTGAGAGCTGACATGATGAGCTCGGTTTTTAGTTACTTTCTCTTCCATTTATGTCAAAGACACATCTGTTACATGTTAAATCGGCAAAAACAAGAGCTGACCAATGGCAGAGGCGACAGGTGCCAACAGGAGTAACACACTGATCCAACAAAACCCAACAAAGTGTCTGTTGCCATTTTTTGGGCGTTTGTCAGTGCAGTGTAAATGGGCATTTACAGTGTTTAATGAAGTCACAAAAAACTTCATATTCAGTAAAGTTACCAGTTCTGGTGGATGTTGGGGTTTCAGTAGTGGAAATAGCAGCTATTACTGCTGTAAATACATTGCAAAATAATTAGGTAGTATATGAGTTATAATAAACACACTATGAAAGAATTTCAATTTTTGGTACGTATTTTAATTTAACACTAAACTTTACTTGCCTGTTTTTGTGTCCATTGGTGAAGCTCTTTGAGTGGACGTTGCTGTTAAAACTGCAGTGAGAACATTATAGGGTGTATTTAAAATGATTTTTTTTTAACAAAGACTGGCATAAATCTTTAAATTAAGTTATAGCTGTAACTATGATAAACAAACAATTGGAATGTGGAAGACCAATCCAAAATGAACTCAAATGTTTTCGAATGAAATTATGATGCTACAGAAGAGAGTGTTCAGCTCATAAGCAATACAGTCTCTATCACGATCCACACTCAAGGAAACAGAAGATCCAATAATGCAGTATAATTTATTAGGGAAATCCGTTACTCACACAACAGTCCAGGCAGGGGTCAAAATCCATATAAGCAATCCGAAACACAATGAACAAAGAACAGACAAAACTCGAGCATGAACAGACCTCAGAACGTGGTGTGATGAAAGACAAGGACTCCGTAACAAACACTAAAACAGACAGGGTATAAATACACAGAACTAACAACCATGATGGGGAACAGCTGGGTACAATGAACAGTGATGAGTGCAGACAAGGATTGTGGGAAATGCAGTTCTGAAAGTGACTGACACCTGGTGAACAGAGGACCTCTAGTGGACACCAGGGAACATAAACCAACACTGTGACATAACCCCCCCTCTACGGAGCGGCTACCAGACGCTCCACGACAACAAAAAAAACACAGAAAACACAACACAAGAGGTTCAGGAGGGAGGTGGAACGGTGGAGGATCAGGGGGAGGGAAGGTGGGCCAGGTCCATGAAGGGAGACAGGAACAAGGGGTGAGGGTTTAACCGGGGACCAGGGCAAAACAAAAAGTCTATCGGGCATCCAGAAGGAAACAGAAAGTCCATCGGGCGGCCAGGTCGGTGAAGACCCCTCGGGCGGCCAGGGCGGTGAAGACCCCTCGGGCGGCCCCGGCTCGGGAACAGGCGACACTGGCTCCGGCTCGGGAACAGGCGACACTGGCTCCGGCTCGGGAACAGGCGACACTGGCTCCGGCTCGGGAACAGGCGACACTGGCTCCGGCTCGGGAACAGGCGACACTGGCTCCGGCTCGGGAACAGGCGACACTGGCTCCGGCTCGGGAACAGGCGACACTGGCTCCGGCTCGGGAACAGGCGACACTGGCTCCGGCTCGGGAACAGGCGACACTGGCTCCGGCTCGGGAACAGGCGACACTGGCTCCGGCTCGGGAACAGGCGACACTGGCTCCGGCTCGGGAACAGGCGACACTGGCTCCGGCTCGGGAACAGGCGACACTGGCTCCGGCTCGGGAACAGGCGACACTGGCTCCGGCTCGGGAACAGGCGACACTGGCTCCGGCTCGGGAACAGGCGACACTGGCTCCGGCTCAGCGGCGGCCATCTTGTCCGGAGACACAGGCTCGGCGGCGGCCGGCAGGGGGACGGCCTCCTGGACGACATCGGGCTGTTCGGGCACGACCTCCGTGACGATAGTCCGGCGGAACGAGACTCTGGCCTGGGGAATTGATACCCACTGAGATCCGTGAAATTACCAGGCTATCGGCTGTTCGGACAGATGACAGCAACTGATCGGCCAGCTTGGACACCAGTCCACTCCACCCTCGGACGTGTCCAAAGGAGGCAGCCGTGCTGGCTGATGGTGCGGTCCGCGGAGGGTCTCGCTTTGCGGCCGACGGAGACACTGGCTCGATGGTGCCCATCCTCTCCGGAGACACAGGTGCCGGGTCCGCCCTCCCGTCAGGAAACGCTGATGTGGACTCAGTCATCCTGTCAGAAAAACCAAACCGGTCTAACATAATCCTCCGGCTACGTCTCTGCAGATAATTAGTGAACCCCCAGAAGTCCAGAGTCTCCAGCCCCATCATCTCACATCGAGGTAATGGGTTATCAAGGCAATTATTAAAAAGGTCTTTTAGTGCCGCCTCATTGTAACCCATACCTCTTGAGAGAGTCCAAAAGAATTGAGCTAGTCCACCCACCGACTGTCCCTGTTGGCGTAAAGCCATTAAATTACTGAGTCGTCCCCTCCTTTCTTCCTTGGTGGTAGGGGGACGGATTCGGAAACCCGTACTGCTGGATCCTTGCATGACGGAGTCCTTCTGTCACGATCCACACTCAAGGAAACAGAAGATCCAATAATGCAGTATAATTTATTAGGGAAATCCGTTACTCACACAACAGTCCAGGCAGGGGTCAAAATCCATATAAGCAATCCAAAACACAATGAACAGACAAAACTCGAGCATGAACAGACAAAACTCGAGCATGAACAGACCTCAGAACGTGGTGTGATGAAAGACAAGGACTCCGTAACAAACACCAAAACAGACAGGGTATAAATACACAGAACTAACAACCATGATGGGGAACAGCTAGGTACAATGAACAGTGATGAGTGCAGACAAGGATTGTGGGAAATGCAGTTCTGAAATCGACTGACACCTGGTGAACAGAGGACCTCTAGTGGACACCAGGGAACATAAACCAACACTGTGACAGTCTCATCTTGAGTCATGTGACTTCCCATTAGCTTACTAATTTGGCATCTAAGTAGGTAACTTATGACATTCTTCTGTTAACCGGCAGAGTCAATGCGAGCCACAAAATTTAGATGCATTAGCCTATTGAACTTTAATGTTTGTCGAATGCAATTCATAAACAGTAAAACATTAAGAAAAGCAGACCTTTCTGCTCAACGTTTGGAAACTTTACATGTGTAGAGTTGAGCCTTGGTTGAGTAAATGGATCCCACATATATATTTTTTAATTCAACTTAGGCCTAGTGATTTTACCAATGAGGAAGAGTGGATGAACTTATGTGTGGTTTTCTTTGTTTTGCTCTTTGGCAGTTTTGACTTGGAAACTAAGTATACAAATATAAAAATAAATTACAAATTGCAAGGAGAATCACCTTTGTATGACGTTTTCAATTTTAATTCAGAATAACCAGAAAATGTGTTATCAGTAACTTACCAGCTGTACTGGACGTTTCAGAAGTGGACATTAAAGGTAAAGCTGTAAAAAAAATAAACATTGTAAAATTTGCAGTGATATATAATCAAATGTTCAACCGCAACAGAAAATAATGAGCCTGAAAGAACAATTGCCACATCATTAAAGGTGGAATAAGAATGATGTCTTTTTGATTTTACAAACTCAATTACTCACAGGTTTTCATGGTGGTTGTAAAATGTGCAGCTGGTGTTGAAACTGTAAAGACAGTTTACAGTATTACGGGGAGCAATTGCAATATTTAACTTTAAAGCAAATGTCAATACAGTCTGTTGTCAAAGGTACAGAGCCTTCAAATACAACTTTTCCCCACATTATGCCGTATGATGTAATTCCGGCCTGTACTGGTTTATATCCAATAAGGATAATACAGAACCAAAGAACCAGCACTATAACATTTAAGAATGAAACAATGAGTTACTTTGTACAGTTGTATATAAACTGACACTAATTTTGTTTTCAATAATCCTGCTGTACAGAGAAACATTACAAGAGTGAACAGCCCATATCATAGATTCATAAAGTAAATCTCAGTGGATAGATGTATGTAAAGGACTTTGTGTTTTTTTTTTGACAGAAATAACTTTTTAAACAGATTTTCAATATATAAATAAAATATCTCAAGACTCACTCTGGATTGTTATTGTCACTGGATCGGAGTGAGGAGATGGTGTTTGAACTTGTGACTTCTTCTCAGTGTAGAAGCAGGTTATTCTCACAGATGAACTCTGACCTTCTGACCAAATACTGATCTGAGATCCAGTGAGTGAGAGCTGACATGATGAGCTCAGTTTTGAGTTAGTTTCTCTTTCATTTATGTTAAAGTAACACATCTCCATCTTCAGATCTTTAGTATTCTCACAGCTCAGCTGAACTGTGTCTGTTTCCATTATAACTGAAGCAGATGCTGTTAACCTGGCCTGAGGAAGATCTAATGAAGAAGAAAGGAAAATTTAAATGTATTCATCTCTCAGGTAAGGTTAGAAGTAGGTGACTCTTCTGAAAGATGCAAAAACTGAAAGAAAAAAACAGTGTCCTTAACTTTCATCATGTTAGTCTTTTGTCATTTTAAACTATTAAAACTATTCAAATGCAGTTCTCTAATGAAATCATCCTTCAGGAAGTTCATCATTTTGGAGGGAAAACTACAGCACCAACATCAGCATTAGCATTTGACTTATTTTCTGTGATGGTTTCTGGTAGTAGTTGGTTTGACAAAATACAAAAATGGGTAATATTTTATTTTGATGGTTCCTTTTGCATGATAATATCAACACTTCAAAAGTTGTTTTAAACTGACTGTCAATCACTCACTGTGCAATGGTTCTTTATTTGCACGTGTAATCATAATCCAGTCATAATGTCAAAATGTCATATGATGAGCTTAACCAGAGCATATTTCTGAAAGATACTTAAATTGAAATTCTACTGACTTCAACACAAGTGTATTAATAAAAAGAGTTCAAGAAGTGCTGCAGAACAGGAATAGCCCAATAAGAACATGTAAAGAAACTTTTAAAATATTCAATAAATTGCTTGCCGTTTTTCCTCTCACCCTCATATTAGATGTGCAGAAACAAGCTTCTTTCTATAGATGTGTCAGACATTGTCTAGCTCTCTGACATGATCAGCTGAAGCGACTCTTCCTTCCTGCCTAAATATATCAGATAGTTCACTTGCTAAGGTCACACTGGTTAAGCGTTTGTCTGAGAAGAACCTACAAGTTTTTCAGTGTAAGAAGATTTCACAGATCACTGTCTACTGACTCACTGTCTCACCGCATTCCACAACTGCTAGAATCAGCTTCAATATGTTGTTTCTGACTTCATAGACACCGATCAATACATTTAGTGTATTTGACCTTGCAGTGTTGTATTATACAGCCTGTTGAAAGGGTCGTTATCATTATCAATAGTATCCGTCAAGAAGTGCCCTAGATGTATGCACAGTATCATTCAACTTTTCTCGTTTTTATCAAGGGGGTGGACATGGACATGGGTCATAAAGGGATGGACATGGTCAGAAACAATGCTCAGGTAGGCCGTGGCATTTAAACGATGCCCAATTGGCACTAAGGGGCCTAAAGTGTGCCAAGAAAACATCCCCCACACCATTACACCACCACCACCAGCCTGCACAGTGGTAACAAGGCATGATGGATCCATGTTCTCATTCTGTTTACGCCAAATTCTGACTCCATCTGAATGTCTCAACAGAAATCGAGACTCATCAGACCAGTCAACATTTATCCAGTCTTCAACTGTCCAATTTTGGTGAGCTCTTGCAAATTGTAGCCTCTTTTTCCTATTTGTAGTGGAGATGAGTGGTACCCGGTGGGGTCTTCTGCTATTGTAGCCCATCCGCCTCAAGGTTGTGCGTGTTGTGGCTTCACAAATGCTTTGCTGCATACCTCGGTTGTAACGAGTGGTTATTTCAGTCAGTTGCTCTTCTATCAGCTTGAATCAGTCGGCCCATTCTCCTCTGACCTCTAGCATCAACAAGGCATTTTCGCCCACAGGACTGCCGCATACTGGATGTTTTTCCCTTTTCACACCATTCTTTGTAAACCCTAGAAATGGTTGTGCTTGAAAATCCCAGTAACTGAGCAGATTGTGAAATACTCAGACCGGCCCGTCTGGCACCAACAACCATGCCACGCTCAAAATTGCTTAAATCACCTTTTTTTCCCATTCTGACATTCAGTTTGGAGTTCAGGAGATTGTCTTGACCAGGACCACACCCCTAAATGCATTGAAGCAACTGCCATGTGATTGGTTGATTAGATAATTGCATTAATGAGAAATTGAACATGTGTTACTAATAATCCTTTAGGTGAGTGTATGTTAAAAATGTTTACAGTAAAAAGTCCTCACCTCTGAAGGTGTGTGTGTCACTGCGCGGTGATCTGATCTCAGGTTCAGTGTTGATGATGTAATAATCACAGCTCAGATGTCTGCTGTTCACTGATCGTGTCAAGAGCTCACTGTTTTTTAAATAAAACATACAAAGATGATATTCTCCAAACTGACTCTTCTGAGAGATGTGTGTGTGCAGAAGAACATCCTCAGTGTAGAGACTACAGATGAAATCAGCTCTGACTGAAAGTGGTATTTCACAGGCTATGTTGATCTGGACATCATCGTCACTAACACTGATGAAGGGTTTCTGAAGCGAACCTGTTTAAGTCAAATAATTCATAATTAATGGAAAAAAAACATTGCACAAAAAAAAAAAACAGCAGTGAAATCTCTTACCTAGAACCGTCACTGTAGCAGCAGGAGAATAAGATGATGGTTTATTAATCCCGTGCTCAGTTATTATGTAGAAGCAATAAATGTCGACTGATGCAGGTGATTTTACATCTGCCCATCTGAGCACTTCAACACCAGTGAGCTCGAGTTCACATGATGGTCTGACTTTTATATTCTCCTGTTCACTGTTTCTGTAGAAATGACACTGTTTCACTGTAACATCTGCTGGCGTCTCACAGATCATCTTCACTGATCTGGACTCTCTTAGCACATCTGGAGATACTCTTACAGCAGGAGATTCTGAAATAACAAAAACAGATCAATCACTACATTACATCTTACTGACCACTTTACGATGCATACTTTTCTAATCATGGTCCATGTTTTGGTGAAACTTTTAAACATATTTAAATTCATAAATGTCCTTTCAGCAGCACCCAACTACACAATGAATGGAAAATGTAGGCCAGCCAATGAAGGTATTTGTTTACTAATTTAAAGTCATACAGTCAATAATCGTATCCCTTAAAACTAATCAAAATGACATAATTTCTTCAAACCCTTAAAATGTAACTTTACACCCTTGCTTAATTTAATTTTCGCATATTTTTTTTGCCCTGCCTTCACTCAATCACACCAGCTCAGACTACCCGATCCACTCTGTCAACTTAAACGCGACACAATGGCAAGTGGAAATATTGGTTTAATTCAGACATGTTTGAAACAGAAACTTCAGAAGATTCAGAAGAAGAAGAATTTACAGGGTTGTCTACAAGATAATAAATCAGAATGGTAATGCGTTTTATTTATCGCTCTCTACAATGTTGGACACATAACAGTAGGCTAATTGAAATCCCTAGTAAAAAAAAAAACCTCTTCCAAAATGTATTTAAAATAGATTTATTCATACTAAGTATACTACAAATTCATTAACATATTTACTGACATATCGCTTGAGACTTACTGAAATAAATATTGTGATTAAACTTTATTTGGAGTGTTTTTTTTAACAACGCACATTTCTTAATATTAAGCCTAAAATGTGTTTTAATATCATTATTAGTAAGGCAAGTACTATCTCTGTATAATATCAGTTTTTAGATGCAAGATATTTAAAGTGTACCTAAAGTACATTTGCAATAGTTCCATTTTAGCACAATCAAATATAAGTATCTTTATTTGAACCTCAGTTCTATTTCAGGATAACTAAAGTGCATTAAGTACAGAATTAGTTGCACCAATTTAGCAGACTTTAACTATACCAATTTAGTATATAAAAAGTTGAATTGCAGGATATGCAGCGTATTATATAAATATGTAAATGTATTTGTACTTGGCATGAAATAAGTGTATTTCAAATAAATTTTTATATATATATTTTTTCACTAGATATGATTAGCCTTTGGTTAATCATAAACGTTATTGAACAGCTAATAATGTGATGCTAAATTTGTGCTCACTGTGTTAAAATGCCAACAGAGTGTGATAGAAATGATAAAGCCCCGCACTGCACATTGACATGATTCATTACGTTTTTGACGGTAGGAAACGGGTGGTTTCTAACCGCGTATTTGAGGCTGTCTTTGAAACTGCAGTTTTAAGGAGGAAATACTCAGCAATGGTGTTGACTGATGAATTTCCACATGGTTTGGCTTTGGGTATTAAAAACACCACAGACATGAACAACATTATAAAAACTTGATTTTCATCAAAGGGGGTCTTTAAGTCCTTTTAAGTCCATTTTAATTTCTTTTAATGTTTGGCACAAAAAAAAGAGGAAAAGAAAGTCTCTTTCTCATGCACTTCAAAAATGCATTTGATTCTGATAGCTTTTATCAGCATATATACAGTAGCTCCCAGAACTTTTATATGTGCAGATGTAAATGAATTTTCTTGTACACCAAATAAAGTGTTTCCGTGACTCCTAATTCTAATCAATGGATTAATTAGGTTATTGCAATCATTTTCATGAATTTTAATGACATAGCTAAAGTAAAACTGCTTCAAGGTTGGTTTATGTGTCTCTGTTCTACTAAAACACAAACGTACTGATCACACATGCTTAAATTCTGTATTTTAGACCAATGTTTTTTCAGTACAAATGTGGACATACAGTGTTGAATTAATATTAAACGACAAAGATCACTTACTGTAAGACTGAACCTCCATAAGAAGCTGAAAAGCAATGAAGATGAACAACTCCATTACAGCGAGAGTGAGAAAAGAGACGAGACTCACACAATAGTTGAATTAGGAAGTAACACATCAGACCACAGGAAACCATATAATGCAGTCAGTGCTATGAAGATGAACGTACATCATGAGATTCACTGTAACAGAGGGCAGTTCTGGGCCACAGGCATTGGCATATTTACATGTGGGCCACGATGTCCCCACCACTTTTTGCCAGCGTCAATATTGTCCCCACCACTTTTTGAAACATCTCGCTGCATGGATGTACCTAATACAAAATAAACATTTCCAGTTGATAGCAAACCTGTATGAATTTCTTTCTTCTGCTGAACACAAAAGAAGATATTTTGGGGGGTATATGAATCGAATAGCTGTACAATAGCCAACATATTCTATCATTATTTCTGTACATATATATTTTTTTCTCTTTAAAGGTACAACAAGTGAAGAAAAATGGTTCATCCATGTTTTGAGGAGCATGAAAGAGATGTTTGCACCTGGCAGGAGCTGTAGATTCTGTGGCTGTTTTCAGAGTTTCACCAGTAGAGGTCGCCACTGAATCAGCAAAGAGAATTCAACAATGTCCATTAAGTTTGGAAATATCACTTTAATTAGCAGGCTTCTGTTGGTATTAATATTGCAGCGTACAAATATCAGAAACGCTCCACATGAATGTTGGAGGAGGAGGGATTGGAGGAGCTACTCCACGCAATGTTTCTGTGACTGTGAATATGACAAGTGCAATTTACTGCAAATGACATCTAGCTCCCCCTCTCTGGACGTAATATGGGTGGAGCTTGCCCCAGTTATGTTTAGGGGTAGGGGTGTGGGTAGGGTTAGGGTTAGGCTGGACGTCCATTGTCTCTGCAGTGAATCCCAAGCACTTTTTGTGTATTGGGCTAGAGAGTCTTGCCAGAGAAAGTCTTCTGCTTGGTCACAGAGGTCATAATGCATTTCACGCCAAACACTAAATGATGAAAACAAAAACCTATTTGTCAGCAAGTAAAGTAGATAGTTTATTTATAATGAATGTACATAATGAAACAAGACTTGAGACTCATCAGTGCATCTTCACCAAACTGTAGACTTGATCTCCTGCGTTTGAGTGAACTGGTTTGTCAGGGATCGTGCAGTACAGGTGGTAAACATTCTTAAGGACGACAACAGAAAGATTGACAAGACAGACAAAATAAATGTTTGTAATCTGTTCATGATGGACTTCTCATTTGTGTATGTGGGTTTGTGGTGTGACTGTTCACATATTACCTCATTTTCCTCTGTATTGCCCTCTCTCTGTTGAGTATTGACCAAAACTTCTGTAAAGCAGAAGCGTCATTTCACTTTAGATAACATGTTTTGACCACCATGAACAAGCTCTCTGTTATAAAACTTGAATGTATTTTTGCACAGCAGAATCATCTCTTCTCTCACAATGCTTATATGTGAGCGTCAACAATGCTGTTTTTGGACTAGTGAGGAAGTTTTGAGTTGTGAAACCACAGTGTGTTTTTATAGTAAATACGAGAACAATTTGATTCATTCTTGAAATGACCACTTTAATGAAAGAAACATTTTATTACATGAGGGCTGGTAAATTGAATTCTCAGATTAGATTGAAAGATCACCATACCAATTCCTTGATTGGGCTCATCTGATCTTATTAATCTTATTTTATTGCTATAAGAATCAAATTATTGATCTTTGTGGCATCTTTTCATACATGCATGGATAATAATAATATGTTTATTTTATATAGCAATTTATCTTGCAAATTCAAGGTCGCTTTACAGTATGATACAAATAAAACATGACAGAAGACAAAGAAACAAAATGGATAAACTGAATAGGTAACAGTTAAACTGAAAAAGATAAACATGACAATATTATATATAATCCGATATATCCTCAATATATCAGAAAATGTGATAAACATTTGCACACACAGCTCCTAGACTACAAAAAACTATATTAGCATATCAATGATACTAAAATAACACTGCCTCCAATACATATCACAGACTATGAAATTGAGTGCATGAAATAAAACGTACTGTTTTCTTCGTTCTTTACCTAGAAAACGTCCTCGGGTTAGGACTGTAACCCTTGTTCCCTCAGAAAGGGAACGAGAACTGCGTCGAATGACACTTTGGGGGAACGCCCCTCAGCGTAGCGCCTCTGAAGCATGAATGAAACTGAGCCGATCTCCGATTGGTGCAACGTCATGACGTAATGTGTGACGACACATAGGCGGAACTATAAAGGGACGCCGGCAAAACAAAATGTCAGCCTCTGTGATGAGGCAAGCGCTCCCAGGCAGGGGAAGGCGTGGCCAAGGGATGCAGTTCTTGTTCCCTTCTCAGGGAACAAGGGTTACAGTCGTAACCCGAGGAACGAGTACCCACTACGCCACAACGCGCCCTGCCTGCCCTAGTGTGAAGCTGCTCACAGGCACACTTAGGACGAGAGCACAAGAGAGCCGGGTGTTGACGGAATGTCCAGACTATAAAACCTAATAAAGGTATGAGGGGTGGCCCATCCTGCTGCATCGCAGACCTCCTGGATGGGAGCCCCCGCGAGAAGGGCTCTAGAGGACGCCATGCCTCTGTTGGAATGAGCCCTCACGGCCAAAGGTGAAGGCATACCGCGCACCTGGTGGGCCGTGGAAATCGCTTGGACAATCCAGTTGCTGATGGTCTGTTTTGAAGCAGGAAGCCCCTTCCTGGGCGACCCGAAACACACCAGCAACTGGTCCGACTTCCACCATGAAGAGGACCTCTGAATGTAAATACTTAGTGCTCTGACAGGGCAGAGCATGTGAAGTCTCTCTTCATCCGCCGTCACGTGAGGTGGAGGATGAAAAGCCTGCAGAACCGTAGGCCGTGCCGCACTGGACGGCACCTTAGGCAGATAGCCGGGCCTAGGGTGAAGAATGGCCTTAATGTTGCCTGGAGCAAACTCCAGGCACTCGTTAGATATGGAGAGCGCCTGGAGATCTCCTACCCTCATCAGAGAAGTAATGGCCAACAGAAAAGCGACCTTCAGCGACAGGTTCTTGGCCTCAGCCGACTCCAGCGGTTCGAAGGGGGCCTCAGCCAACCCTTCAAGAACCACTGCCAGGTCCCATGTGGGAACCCTCGTACGAGCTGCAGGTCTCATCCTCCATGCCCCACGGAGGAAACGTACGACCAACTGGTGTCTCCCCAGAGGCCCATCACTCAGAGGAGCGTGGAAAGCCGCAATGGCAGCCACGTACACCTTGAGTGTGGACGGGGTAAGACCAGTGGAGAAGCGATCTTGGAGGAACTCCAGCACTGAAGCCACTGGGGAGTTAACTGGGTCCACCTCACGCTCCCTACACCAAACGGTGAAGACGTTCCACTTTAAGCTGTACAATTTCCTCGTGGAGGGAGCTCTAGAGCTGAGTATGTTCTCCACTACTCCAGCTGATAGGCCGGCCTCTAGGTACTGTGCCCCCTCAGGGGCCAGACCCACAGTTTCCATAACTCGGGCCGAGGGTGAAATATTGAGCCCTCTGCCTGTGTCAGCAGGTCCCTCCTGATGGGAATCTCCCATGGAGGGCCGTCCAGGAGCAAGATTATATCGGAGAACCACACTCGGGCCGGCCACAACGGGGCTACCAGTAGTAGACTGATCCCGTCGTGACGGACCCTCTCTAGAACTCCCGGGAGCAGAGCGATCGGGGGAAATGCGTACAGACGTAGCCTCGGCCACGTCTGCACCATGGCATCCAACCCCAGCGGGGCTGGATGGGAGAGGGAATACCACAGTGGACAGTGGGTCATCTCTCGAGACGCGAACAGGTCCACTTCCACTGGGCTGAACCTCTGAGATATTGACTCCACCACCTCCGGGTGGAGTCTCCATTCCCCGGGCCTCAGCCCCTGTCTCGACAGGATGTCTGCTCCCTGATTTTGACTCCCCGGGATGTATGTTGCTCTTAGAGACAACAGTTTTCCATGGGACCACAGGAGGATCTGATGCGCCAGTCTGCATAGAGGGCGAGACCTCAGACCCCCCTGATGGTTTATATAGGCCACTACCGACATGTTGTCTGACCTCACAAGGACATGATGACCTTTGAGGTCCGGCAGGAAGCTCCTCAGAGCTCGGAACACCGCCAACATCTCCAGGCAGTTTATGTGCCAGGAGGCATGATGGTCCTGCCATAGGCCTGTCATAAAGCGGCCGTCCATGACCGCGCCCCAGCCCGTGAGGGAGGCGTCTGTCGAAACGGTTCTCCGGCGACATGATGCTCCCAACACTGGACCTTGGGACAGAAACCAAGCTTCCTTCCACATAGATAGGGAACGAAGGCATCTGCGCGTAACCCTGATCATGCGGAACGGGTTTCCCCTCGGGGAGAACCCCTTGGTTTTTAACCACCACTGAAGGGCCCTCATGTGCAGCAGGCCGAATGGAATAATATTGGACGCTGCTGCCATGAGCCCCAACACTCTCTGGAAGTGCTTTACGGTGATGGCTTGGCCTAGCTTTATCCCGGACACTGTGGTCAGGATGGACTCGATCCGTGCAGGAGACAATTGTGCCCGCATCGTGACCGAGTCCCACACCACTCCCAGGAACGTGGTTCTCTGGGCTGGTGTCAACACGCTCTTTTTCGTGTTGAGTCTCAACCCCAGGCTCTGGATGTGGGCGAGGACGACATCTCGATGCCGAACCGCCAGCTCCTGTGACTGTGCTAAAATCAGCCAGTCGTCGATATAATTGAGCACCCTGATGTCCTGAAGCCTCAGCGGTGCCAGAGCTGCATCCATACATTTGGTAAATGTGCGAGGGGAGAGAGCTAGGCCGAACGGAAGAACCCGATATTGGTACGCTTCGCCCCCGAAAGCGAACCTCAGGAACTTCCTTTGAGATGGAAGGATGGATATGTAGAAGTATGCGTCCTTTAGATCTATCGTGACAAACCAATCCTCGGACTGAATTTGACTCACGATAATGGGAATAGTGAACATCTTGAACCTGAATCTCATCAGAGAACGGTTCAGGTGCCTGAGATCTATTATTGGACGCAACCCCCCATCCTTCTTGGGAACTATGAAGTAGCGG